ACCTTAATAAATGTCATTTCAAATCTTTTTACTTCGCAAAGATGACCGCATAACGACGTGATCTAAATTTTGACCACATAACGATAACAAAATTCTGTTAATTTTATTTTTATTTTTTACATAAAGGACGGATTTTCTCCGTTACTTAATCATTTTTAATCAAATTTGATGAGGTTTTTTTACATGTTTGTTAAAGTTCAACTGTGTCTAACGAGTGAGTCATATCCTGAACCGTTTCAGTCCAAGTAATAGCTATTTCTTTAACACAAACCTATAAAATTTAAACAATGGAATATCTCTGAAGAATTTCAATGATTCACAACGTTGTGAGGAAACGTCCCAGAGATTGGAGAATTTTACACGAAGTGTTATATTCATCTTTTGGTAGGATCGGTCCTTATTTGGCGGAATCTGGTAGATCAAACCTACAAAAAAACGTACATCATGGGGAAATCAAGGTTTTAAGAAAAGGAAAAGATTTAATACGTATTGATGACAGAATGTTTTTTGCATGAAAAACTGAATACTACAGGTTAAAATCTAAAATTAACATCAGCCGTGTAAATTGTATAAAGAAGGGGAGCAAGTGCACATCTCCACGGGGCACCAGCGAGAATTGGATGCCTGGAAGAGAAATTCATGTTTTGGACAATTAAAAAGTGTGACAGCGTGATTTTTATACAATTAATCGGTCATGTACAACCAAAATAAAGTAAATAATAACATACAACAATTTGACGATTTTATGAGTTATTATTTCTATTTAATTCTAGGAGTATAGGTTGATTAATTTCATTTTTAAATTAATTTCCTTAGTTTTATTTTTATTTTCTTCCTTACAAAAAGCCAATTTTATTGTTTTATTTTTAACAGTTCATACACCACATTTGAGAAAGAGTATATGTTGAAAATGTCATTGTCAGTCAGCACGTTATTTGTGTATTTATTTTGCCTTAATGTACAACAGTGCCCCTATTATTAATTTAATTTTTAATTTCAAAAGTTGATTTCATTATTGAAAATATTCTACGAGAAGGAACAGCCTAGTGATCATTCGTTTTTTATGCATTGTTCAGGTCAGGAAACTCGCAAACATCACGGCATTTCTGTTTTTGTAATAATATATTGTCCAATTTAAAATGATTTATTTTTGAGCAATTTCAAACGTATTATCAAAATAATCTTCTGATAAGATTTATGGAAATGCCAAGATCAACTGACATCTCATTGTTTTATATCATGTCTGTTTTTAGGAGGATTCCTTTGTAAAATGTTCTATTCGACGATTTATCAAAACTCCACCTAGAAAAGAGTGTTTACACAAGGAATAACCAGTGGGGTGAAAACTTATGGATCGTTGTGTACGAAGTGATTTTAAAATCCAGACCTCGGAACAAACATAGCATATAAACTTTCCCGTCAGGTTTGGAGTAAGCAATGAAGAAGGTGCCGATCCGCTGAGAAAACAATCCTTTGAACGGTTCCTTTCAGTTTTAGGCGTCAGATAAATTATTGAGGGCTTTCTGTTTGGTCGTCGCAGAGAACCGTAGGGCACGTTAGTAAACAGCGGTTTGATGTATTAAGGCTGGGGGAAAGGAAAGAGGAGGTTCTTGGTAAATGCTAACAATATTTGTTTACCACGGTGGATTGGAGCCGCCCCTGTTAGCTTTTCCGTGTGTGTGCGTGTGTGTACTCTTATATTAAATCTTCGAGTCAAACACAACCCCCGGACCACAAGGTTGTTTTCCCGCCATCTTGGAATTAACACGACCTCTCTTTCATCACGTATCATCCTACACCTAAGCTCCGTGGCTGTTTTCAGCTGAATATAAAGCACCGCCTTTCCCGGTTCGACTCATTTTCTACCGGCGGTGATCGCTTTTAATAAGACAGCGACAAAGGCAAACTCCTTTCCCGACCCATATGAACTTTTACGCTAGCCTGGTAGTAAAATGTTATTGTGTTATGGCCAGGGAGGGGGCAAATCAAATTTGATCTAAGGAGATGAGAAAAAAGTTTACGGAGAAGAAGCGTAAGGCTACGGTAATGCTAATTTTACCCTAAATGGTTGTATGGTTTAAAAAAAAAGAAGTGCTAACAATTCTCTCGCAGATATCTAAAGTGATTTATCATTTTGTAAATTTGATCTGTTATTTATTTGCTAATACCAAACACGTACTCATTTATTTGCAATGGATTCTTCATCTACTTTACTGGTACCGCTTTACAAAGTGTAGGTGATATTTATTTAACACATCACGGAATGTCAAATTGATACGTGATGTTTAAATTTATTTAAACATAAATAGTAAATAAATAATTTATTAAATTGAAAATAGCCTATACTACTCTACTCTACTCTCTCTCTCTCTTTCTCTTTCTCTCACTCACTCACTCACCCACTCTTTCTCAGCGTCTGGCATGGGGGAGTTGTCTTCAAACCAAAGCAGTTTATACCAACTCATTATTACCAAATTCTAAAAATCCAATAATTACAGATCTTTACTTCAAAGTAAGATGCACCAATGAGTTCTCAGAAACAAGACCGATCCCCTCCAAATATCATTAATATCGCTGACCTGCCTATACATCCCAAAAACATCCCTACACTTAGAGGAGGATACTGGTATATTACTTTCTGACTCCAATATCTAGGAGCAGCTTGAACTCACTGAAGACTAGTGCAAAACGTAAACGTATGAAATCACACTGAACGATGAAAAATGTACCCGAATTACGTTCATGTTAGACAAACAGCCTTTCCCAGTCTGTACGTTAACAGCATGGACCTATCGACATCTATGAAGGTGAACTACTTACAGCTATACTTAGACAGTAGACTGACGTGGAATCCCCACGAACTAAATACCCGTTGTGGACAACTAAGAAGCATAATTATAGGACTTAAAGGAAAAACTAACACTTTACAAAACATACTTCCACCTATCTGGCCATACGGGGCGATGTTTTGAGTAACACAGAGCGATTTAATACCAAACTAATCTAAGCATTCCAATCTAAAATCGCCAGAAAATTTCTCCATACTCCTTACTTCATCTCAACCTTACTACGACAATCTTTCATCCTATCCTGACCCTCCTCTTCAAGCCCTCCCAAGAAGTCTCCACGTCGTCTCAAACGTCGATGGTCCCAAGACGTTTCCTCTTCCTTAACCCGACAACAAATTTTAAATAACACATGTCCTCTGGATGCAGTGCTTTTCGTATTGTTAGTATTGTCTTCTTCTTCTCATAGACTTCTCGAAATTCAACTATTAAGATCGTTATATTTAAAAATTTTGTTTTAATGCAAGAATGGTTTTCATTCATTCAATTATAAAATTTAAAAAAAATAATGGGTAAAGAGCAACTTTGTTACATAAAATGTGTATCGAAAACTTTGCATCTCGCAATCCTATTATCCGGAACGGGTGGAAAAAGGGCTCCCCGGTTTTTGTTTTCCGCCTTTCGGGTTATTGAATGCGAGGGTGAAAAACAAAAGCGACTGGCGTCTCGTTGGACAGGGCTTTTCCATTACCGAAAAGTTTTCCACTCGCCCCAGAGAAACAACTTCGTGAAACAACCGGGGAGTTCTCGACCCCCGCGCGTTTTTCCTTCTCTCATGAATACATGTGCCCAGAATTTAAAACAGACTTTTTTACAAATGTGTATATTGTGGAGAATTTCAGAATATGCAATGCTCACCAATCCAATTTAAGTACACCCTGAGAAAAAGGGGTCAGATAATTTTACACTATCTTATCAATTTATTATACAGTCAAATCATTTAAAAAAATCCTCTGTGTTCCTTGGATTCGTTCCCCGAGCATTAACAGTACATATACAATAATAAGAACCCTACCAACTAAACTGATTAAATAATAATATCAACATAAATTACATAAAAATTCAACTTCCTTCAACCGTCCTTGACCATCCTTATCCAAATCTTAGTCGTTTCTGTTAGGGATTGCTGATAAACGTTTTATTTATCTAGTTTTCTTTTTTAGTGAATTAAAAAAAAATTATGAAGCCAACTAACATAATATTACTTTTCCATATAATCTTAAAACTATCTGAATGTTTTTACCCCTATAATCTATCCTAAATATTAAAATCTTTTGATCGCTAATGGCTAGTTTATAGTTCAGGTTGAAGTTCAGAGTTAGTTTCTTTAACAACTTTAACAATCAAATTAAATTATAAAATTAATTCATTTGTTACGTTTGACAGATGATGTTAATAACGCAAGAATGAACCAGGTTAAGCGAAGTAAAAACTACTCACTGAAAAATTTTAAACAACGGGCATATTTGTTAATTACATTTTAATTATAAAAGTAAATGCCTGTATTGTAATAGATTTTATTTTACTTTATCAGTATTTGTTACACACATATTTAGAACTGTATAAATATTAAAATGATAAATAAGGACATGTGAGTCAAAACAAGAAAAATTAAATAAGGGTAGTTTTGGTTTCATTACAAATGTATTAAAACTGGAAACCATCGCGTAAGAAGAGACAAAATAATGCGAAGGAACTCTGGAGAAACGTAAACAAATGCATATTGTATATGTAATGTATAATACATGATAAATGGGGTAACGCGAGTAGAAAACAAATAACCCAATGTTATGACTCTGCGTGTAAAATAAATGGTAGCAAAGTATAAAATGTATACTTTTTAGGTAATTGTCCTTATCGAGCAATATTTATTAGAAAAAATAACACACTAAAGGATACGCAAAACTAAATGCAATGTTAGATTATTTAAAAGAACATGCAATGTTGTTTAATTATATATGTAAATATCCGTATAAATAAATGAGATGTATACCTATCGTATCAAACATGAAATAACATAGAAATATTATTTATGAAAACCGTAAATAATATTTAACTCTTTATGACGTCTGTAGCCTCAACAGATCGTTTTGACTATAAGCAAAAAAAGCATAATTTATTACGTTGGACGAAAGTATTTTTATGTTCGCTTACGTATGGAAGATTTTTCTTTTTTGATTAAAGCAGCTCGTACCTGAAACAAAAAGGACACATTTGTTAAGAAATATTCAGAATATTATTTACTATTTAAATGGCCGGAGTTTCATTTTCACCGATATATAAAAGCTAAGTGATTTCAAGAGTTGACATGTCGAAGAAACTGTAACCGAACCGAGATTAGATTCCTTTCCATTCGGTGAAACGAATAAGGACATGGTAGACGGATATTTCTGCTTGTCCAGCAAAATGGTTTTCTCCTTCGACGGGACCCAATCTACTTTCACGAGAGGCGAGCGCTGGAATTGGATGTCCACGCGTGATGGCGTTTCATCAGAGCCCCCTTTTTTATTTCTTGCGTCCTGAAATATTTACACGGCGGCAATACGTTTATGAAAGCCTTATAGTCAATTCATGAAAGAATGTCGACGACGTAAAAGTCCTGTCTTTTCTAGCAGTTATTTTAAAAAAGCGAATAATGTAAAACCCTGGCTGAAAGGCTAAACTTAACCCTTTGAAACAGTGCCGCAACACCAGATATCTACAAAACATAGCTAATTTTTTTTGCTACAGAAAACAGTTTTACCTACATCACCAGTTCTTCAATCAATAATGAAATTTATTTAATTTCCACGCGAAAATATTCAAAAGATTGGGGATTGGTCCGTATTTTCTTGTTGTGAAATTCACCCAAGAAAGTGTAAAAACATATATTTATATATATGTACATGTTATCGAAAATATAACATTCTGATCAAGTTTGATCAGGTATTATAATTTCACTTTTTTTATGATTTCAACTTTCAATTCGGACGATCCAAAACTACGGGGATTGAATCATTGGACCAATAGTCGTCATTGATTGATCGAACAGTGGTAAACTTCTAGTGTGTTGTGATCGTATTTATTATTTTGAGGATTGAAACATATTTTCACCCTCATGCTGCACATCGCAACAAGGTACGCAGCATCCATTGTACCCTCAATTTCAGCATACTATACAAAAAAGGAAAATATCGCTAATGACTACAAGAAGAACCCTAGGCAAATATTGGGGATTACCGAAAAACCGACCCAAAATAACCTATGGATAATTAATCTGGTGGACCAAAGCTCGACCTACTGTAGCTACCCAAATACTAAGCAGCATTCAAAAATTAGCAAACCTATGCATCACAGGGGCAATGAGTACAACCCCTACAAATGCACTAGAAACTCTGCTAGACCTACCTACACTGAAACTATGCAAACAAGGAGTCCTAAACCAATCAAAATGAATGTCAAAATATGATACTCATTAGGGAAGTACACTTCGGTCTTTCAAGCAGAAGAAATACAAGTTGTGCCCTAGAAAATCTTAAAAGAGGTTACACTGACAAAAAAAAATCCTCATAAAATATGAGCTAATTAGCCAAGCAGCTATTAAAGCATTAACGTGTTAAAAAATCACATCAAAATTAGTCAGTGAATGCATTCAAAACCTGGGGAAACACAACAACCTGATGATACCTTGGGTGCCAGGACACAAAGGTATTTTGGGTAACCAAAAAGCAAACACACTGGCCAGGGAGGACCTGCATGTCCGTACATAGGCCACGAACCTTTATTTGGGATAACGAAAACAACAGGATCCTCCATTACCGAAAAGATCCAAATAAAACAAAACCAGAAGTGGGTATAAACTCTAGCGGCTCTGATACAGTAAACTTATGCTAAAACTTATGCTTCAGTTGGATATTGCCAGACTCAGAGGAGTGATAAGACTATTAATCCGTCACTGGCAACTGTGAAAACATATAGATAACATGGGCATGTATAATGATGATCCCATCTGCAGATTATGTAATGAGGAGGAAAAAACAGCCACCCATATCATCTTGGAATGCGAATCAACGGCTCAATGGAGACATACCTAGCATACAGAAAAAACCTAGGGAATGAAATTGTAGCAACAACAGTCAATGACCTAGTACTTCTGAGAAGAAGGATGGAATCGATTGCACTGATCTAGGGAACTAGGAAGGTACAATAAGCCAGAAGGCTGCAGTGCCTGTGGTGCACAAACCCCTTCCTAGCGTCCTCATCATTATCATCATCAACATCCATTGTAACAATTACTGAAAAAGTAGTTTTAATTTAATTAGGACAATAGTTGTATGGAAAATTGTATGTGGTTCTTGGCGTTTTGTCCTATTACACCCCACCAACAAATACACCAAAGAAGGTGATAAAATAGCGACAAGTGTCTGACGGTTCAAAACCGATGATCGGCAAACCAGAATGATCAGAAAGGCGAAAGCCTCGGTTCTTCACTTTGTAGACCTCACAATTCTTGTTGTTGCTGTTTTTATAGAAGCGAGAGTAGTTGTGCACTATACTGTGATTGTGTTTGTTATTTTGAAGACGGTAATGAATTTTCTTCCTAATGCTGTACATTTCATCAAGGTACGTAAAATTAGTTGTAGCCATAAATAAAAAATTTAATCTGCAGCGCAATAGATGCGACATAAAAGTTTATCTGATTCATCGCGTGTGTCATTTTTATACCACACAAATAAATACACCACTGATTGTGAATACCGAAGGTGTCTAACTGTCTATAAAGATGAAGACTGGCAGACCAAAATGAACGGAAATGACAAAACTATAGGTTCATCTTCCCCCAGATCTCAACAAGAAATTCCACAATAAATTGATTGATTCAGAAAAAGAAAAAAATTATAATTTAGCGATGTTATTTATGTTGTTGTCTAAGTTGATTATAGATCACGTTGTTAGGGTTTTCGAGGTGAAAGTCGATGAACGATTTTCGATTTCGAGGTGCCTCATTACAGATCTGTCTTTCAACAAGAGGATTATCGCTGGATTAGAGGTGCAAGGGGCAAGGGTAAACTTTGTGTCCTGGAGATAACTCGCCTTTCGAGATAATCGTGGGTCCCGACTGTGCGCAGCCGCTCCGTTTTAGTCGATAAGAGTCAAGGCTCCCCGCCCAAGATCGCGGCCGACAATACAGGCAATCGGCACATTTATGCTACAATGTAACCGGGCTCCTCTCTTGGCAGACTACAAATAGGCGAAAAGTGGGACGAAGGACGACTGGAGGAATTTAAGAAGGACCAACGATCTGGAAAGCCCCGCCCGCAGTTGCCATTATTTAGATCACATTCTTTTAAAACGGAAAGAGCAGATAATACGCTTGACTTATTGATGCAACTGAAATGTAGTTATGTGGAAAATTAAAAACTGGCGTCTGTATGAAATGTGCTTAGACCTATAAACTTTCTAAAATATTGATTAAAATCGTTAATTATGTACTTATATTTTTAAATTAATTGTTAAGCAAAAACAACAGAACTTATACCTTCTTAGTTATTGTGTGGTTGCCATGCATCAACATACAACCAACTCTATCCAGATATTTTTATAAAAAGATGATTTTATTAAAAATAAAATACAGTTGATCAAAATATTGCCAGGATTAAATTCTGCATATAATTCCGTAATTCTGACCATTCGGATTTTTCAAAAGATTGCTGGATAAACGTTCAAAACTAGCTTTACGAAATAAATGACTCATTTATATAACTATTTTGAGACCCATTTGGACATACGGCATCGAGCTTTGGGATTCAAAAAACTTGCCAACCTACAATGTATTCAATCCCTACAATCAAAAATCCTTCTATGTATCCAATCCTACCATTCTCAAAGGCCTTGAAATCCCATATGTCCTTGAAGTAGTTTTAGAAACAATTTTCCAGTCACACAAACCCTCATGTCAGAAACCTTTCATCCTGCACCCTACCAAATAACCCTAGGCAAATCTTGGGGATTCAAACCGGAAATGGCCTGTTGGTTATACACGGGAGTAATAAGACCCAAAATAACCTATGGATCATTATTAACTGGTGGACCAAAGCTCAACAAAAGGCACCTACTCAAACAAAGACTACCAAATCTATGTATCACAGGGGCAATGTTTAAATCTACATCCACTGGAAATATTTATACAAAGAGAGGCTAGGAAAAGCTCATTTAGGCTCCAAAAACAATTAAATTGGATAGGAACTAAACAATTCGGACATACAACTATAATTAATAAAATCAGACACCCATTCTTAGAAATGGGGACTGACTATATGATCCCGGAAACGCTCTTCACAACATTCTATAAAGTCTTAACGGACTATAAAGAAAAGGAAAAACACAGGAGAGCATCGGATACAACGATATGGTATACAGATGGCGCCAAAACAAGGAGCCAGATCGGGTATTTACTGTGCAAGCCCAAAACATGAGCAATCAAACTCATAAGGAAAGTACTCTTCCTTAATGTTTGTGCCCTGGAAAATCTTAAAAGAGGTTACGCTGGCAAAAATTCCTTATAAGATCTGATAGCCAAGCAGCTATTAAAGCACTAGCATGTAAAAGAATTACATCAAAAATTAGTCAGTGAATGCACCAAAAATCTCCAAAACCTGAGGAAACACAAAACAACCTGATGATATCTTAGGTGCCAGGGCACAAAGGAATTTTGGGTAAAGAGAAAGCAGACAGACTGGCCAGAGGAGGATCCGCAAGACCATACATAGGCCCCGAACCTATACTTGGGATAACAAAAACAAATATAGAATCCTCTATTGCAGAATGATCTAAACAAAACAAAAGGAGTAATGGATAAACTCTAGTGGTGCTAGACGTAGTAAACTTATGACGAAAAAACCCTCTCCAAGACTGGCAAAATCATTGCTGAAACTGGAGAGGTTACACTCAGAGGAATGGTAGGACGATTAACCGGTCACTAGAATCTGAGAAAACATGTGCACAACATGGGCATATATAACTATGATCCAATCTCTAGATTACGTAATGAGGAGGAGGAAACAGCCACCCATATCATCTTCGAATGCGACGCAACAGCTTAATGGAGATTCAACCTAGCATACGAATAAACTTAGGGAATGAAATTGTAGCAGCGACAATCAATGACCTGATACTTCTAAGGAGAGTTTATTGCGCTCAACTAAGGAACTAGGAAGGTACAATAAGCCAGAAGGCTGCAGTGCCTGGGGAGTAAAACCCCGCTTCCTACTATTCTTATCAGCATACCATAACATACCCTACCAATTAATCCGCTCCGACGGCTGAAGCGTCAATGGCCTCGTGACCTCCTAAGTGACAGTGAATAACAATGAAAGTAATTACTGCTAATATATAGGAGTGACTACTAATGAGTAGTTCTACTTGTTTCTGTTTTATGTATATTTCTGTGTTCATTTTGTTTTGTTTTACGCTGTATAATGCTATCAAATTTATTTAAGGGCAACAATTGTCGCAGGTGTCAATAAATAAAGAAAAAAGAAAACTAATAAATATTATATAAATTTTCCAAATCTTATTTTCATTATCTCTTTTTATCACTAAATATTATGCAAAGTAACTCAGCAATATTATTTTATATTACTTACGATGATACACCAAAAGAACGTCATGGTCGAATACTTATAAATGTCTAATATCTAGATTATTTGTGTTTTATTATAATTTTGATCTGATATATCTGGTAAAAATTGTGTAAGACAAGTTTTGAAACAACTAAATTTGATTAGTGGGTGATATAAACCATCTACTAATGCTGGATTTTTAACTTCACGTGCCTGCAAAACAAATCAGACATCTTAAATATTATAAACTTCCATTATCATTTTAAATAAAAAAATATCATTTATTTTATAGTACGATAGACCAACCAAAAACTCAAGAGATTGCGGGAGAGGAGTGAACAGAACAAAAAAACAAAATTTTTTTACTTAGAGAAAGTAGATAGGTCTCGTTGGCAAATTTGACACTTCGAGCTGTAGATTGGGAAACCTTGCCGAAAGGTAGTCATCACGCATATCTTGCTTCGCTCCATGACCAACTACTCTAATTCTTTAAATGTGGGAAGAGAACTAAAAGCAAAAAAATTCATGCGTTTAACAATCTAAATTGTTTATTAATTACTGCAACCAAACAAAGTCTCATAAATCAGAAATCGTTAATTGTGTTTTTGTAAACAGTTATAAAATTCTGTGGCGATCCATGAGAAGTGTTTATATCGAATGGGGGGATTTAGGAATGAGGGAAGGAATGACCACTCCTTTTAGGGGTCCTGGGAAAAGTTTTTTTTACATTTATTTTTAGCATGTACATATTAAAATAGTAAGGTGTAAGGTTAGGAGAAACCGGCCAACGGTGTCCGTCAATATGAGAGATTGAGGTTTAAGGCGAAGTGGCGGGTATTCAAAGTGATAAAGCGTGGATAAGGATGGCGAAGTAGAGCGATAGATCGAGCCTGGTATGGAGCTTTTGGAGACTAGGTCGTTGTGGATAGTGAGGTTCGTGAAGTAGAAATGAGCGTTGACAATTTGTATGAGCACTTTTTATTGGCAGAATTAGATTCCACCTGGTCGCAGTAATGCCAAGTAAATCACAGAGTAATTGAGTCAAGCTTGAAGTTGGACGGTCAAAACAGATTTCGGTTCTAAAAATCTTCGTAGTTGTTAAGAGAAACCAGCCAACGCTGTCAGTCAATATGAGAGACTGAGGTTTAAGGCGAAGTTACCTATCATGTTGTCTTTATGTCTTGTGTCGGGATTCCGTGTCAATGTGCAGTCTAGGTATAGCCTAAGTGTCTGACATGAGTGGAAATCGACTTTGTTGTTGATGTGTATTTCAATTCAATGTTGTACTTCATTTTTGCTCAAGTCTTTGAGCACGAGGGGGTCTTGGACTATGAGATTACTTGGTTATGATTCGGGCTAGAAGAGATAATTGCGGTGTAATAGATGGCAATGATGGTGTTTGATGTGTAGGAAAAAGGATGGGACCAAGAATGCTCCCTTGTGGTACGCCCCGGCCGGCTTGTAATGGGCTGATCTGAGTATTTGTGTTACCGCACCTAAATATTAAGGTTTCTAGGATTATATAATAAGGGATAAGTACGCTTACAAAGGATGTCTGGCAGACAAATAAAAGAGAATTAAATTTATATTTGTAAATGAATTTATTTTCAAATTACGATGAAATGAAAATAAATGGATAAAAAATTTAAAATAAATGGATTGTACAGTTGGGAGAAAGACCTGATAAGGAAAGACTTGCCGCTGGCTTTTCTAAACGTTTCACCCCTTATCTCTTTGATATAATGAGGATCAATTGATTGATTAGTGAATGGACTGTATTTTTTTATTATGCCAAGGAGGACCATGTTGTGACACTACTTGTCACATATGACCAGATAAAAATTAAAATCTAATAAAATATAAGACGAAAATAAAACAAGGGGAGATTAAACATACCAGGAGTACTAAAGCCACCGCCTAGTTCGGCAGCAGAAGAGACTCGTAGAGCGTAGGACTTTCAAGCCCGAGATCCAAATCTACACGGCCTGGTTCAACATGATGAGTTCCATACTACTGGTACTTGCTTGGATTGCTAAAGCGAATAACGACAATAAACGCCTCACTTCTTAAAAGAAAAACGAACTGTACTAAATAAACCGCTACACTAAACCACGTAAGATTTGAGAGTAAACGTCAGAGCATCAACGAGCATAAACGTTAGAGATAGACTGAGGAAAAAGATGGACGTGGTGTGGTTTGAGAAATTGAGAATTAAGATGTTGATAAACAAATATGGTTTAAACAGCCGTTATCTTGCTAAGGAGTTCTGAAATCTATCGATTCCATGCGATCAAAAAAAAATTAAATCCTTTGGTCTGTAATGATTGACGGTCATAGAAGTAATCAATAAAACCAAACTGACGACTAGTGAATAAAACGAATTATGGACGAATTTTATAAATCCAGACTTGTGCCCATGGTTTGCACGTGGTAATAAATCATCATTATTTTCTGCTCTCCCACAGCGTCTGTGAAATTTCCAAATTAAAATATGTTTAAATTAAGTTTTTTGAAAGATTTATAAATTAAAAAGTGACGTCTCTCATATAATTTCTAATTTGATTTAGGAAAGCGTAGGGTCCCAATTAGTACGTTTGGTCATATCATGCTGAGAAACAGTTTTGTGAAAATCGTTATTTTAATTAATTTCCCGACTTAAGAATCCGAAAACGGTATTATTCACTAATTTTCTCGTTTCGGTTTTATTCTAAAGGTGTTATTCACATTTCATTATCAAGATAATCCGTCAACTATGGCGGCCAAACATCTAGATCTTGATCATTGAACCCAACTGATTAAACAACAAGTCATAAAAATCCGTAAGGAGTATAATTTTTTAAGACGTTCGATGTCATACCCCAGGAATAATAAGGTTATCGATAATGATCATAGTTTGACAGGATGGTCGACGCAGAAAGATAAAAAAAATAAATCAAGGCAATCATGGGATATTTCTCTGACACAAAATGAATGCTTGTCATTTTGTCGGATAGAAAATATTTTCGAAGCGGGGATATGGAACAGCACAGATTAGTTCCTCGTTGTCAAAATTATCAATAAGATAAATAAAAGATGAACAACATTTCTAAACTGGCATCCAAAATTAGATCATCTGATCAATAAACGTTGACATTTTTTGGGCCTGGTTACTCGTGATGTTTTTGTTGGTGAAATGCATATTTCTCGTAGATAATTTGATGTAGTTTCGCAATGGTCAGCGAAAACATCCAGACGGGTTTCGGAGATTTATTAGACGATTAAACTGCAGAAGTCAACAACATGCTTATTAATAAGGGCACACTGAAAAATTAATTGAATTGTTCAATACAATCACCACAGAAATTTTTTCGAATAAATTACCAAGCTTTCTTAATTTTGTGAGATTTTTCGTCGAAGAGTCTACCCGGAAGGAAAGAATACGGTTTAATTCCTAAAAACATGCCACTCAACACGGTCGGTATATACATAGAAAATAAATAAAATAAACAAAAACAATATTTTAATTAGATTTAAAAGTTTTGATTTATCATTCTTGACTGTTGACGTTTTCATTATCGAAAGGTTAAGCCCTGATTAAAAAGTATACATGGTTTTGAAGTTTTCTACATAATTTAACGTGAATGAATGTTTAACCGACAGAAACAAAGATACCGATGATATAGAAATTTGTTTTTACATCTCAGTAAACAAATTGCCAACGAAAACATCAAACCTTTCATAGATTACATTGTTACTTGAAGCTTGCATGCAATAAGTTACATGTTTGTGGTTTATTTATATCTAGTGCCATTACGTTTTGCAGTGTTTGACTAGTGCTAAGATTCATGATGGATGATATCAACAGTCCTGAATGTTTCAAGTTGATTTTTCGATTTTACAAAACTATAGAAATTATTAAAGCTTTTTCCTAAGAAGATATCACATATATTTTTACAAAAACGAAGAGCATTTTGGTTAAGAGTTAATTTTTAACTGAAAAACTGCAATATTAAACTATATATTGATAGATTTAAGCGCGAATCATCATCGTCTTTAAAATTAAAATAACTTTCATCCTCTGAAGTGCATTTCACTTTTTTATTTGTTCAACAGTTAACTGTGACTCGTTCTTAGTCAAATTATCGTGACTGCTAAAAGAAAAGGTCTGATAAAATCAGCTGGAATGTCCCCAGTTGTTAATTAATTTCCCGAAAATGTGCATTGTCCAGCTTTGGTAGATAAGCACTTTATTCTTACAAATGCAAAACAGTTTAAACAATTTGGAAATTTAATTTAAATTAATCGAAAAGTTGTTTTACCTGAAAACTACAACAAACCTATAAGATTCGGAGATTTAAGCACGTTTTCATTTAATTTTGATACATTTTGTTGATACATGAGTTGTGCTTGATATAAAAGTTATTACAGTTATTAAACCAGCTTCTTTTTATTAGAACATGTCTTGTTCATGAATGTTCCATTGTAAATGCATTGTAACTTTATCACATTATATAGATTGAAGTTAGATTTAAAATAATCAAGTGCATGCCTCAGTAGAGCAAAGTAATTGAAAAATTTCCTTTTATGTCTTGTTCAACGCAAGATCATATCGTAAATCGTATGTTGTCTCGTTCTTTTATTTTAGTCGGTTTAATCCTGCATGAAACTTCGGCGAGCGATTCGGTTTATTTCCGTGATTCCGTCCATCCCTGACCTATCGGTCGACGAAGGAAAATAATAAATAAATTATACGAGACTTCCACTCGAAACACATACACTGTAACTCGAACCGGCGACAAAGTCATCCATCTCCATCCAGATATATACTCGTGTATTATTCACTGCATGCAGTAAATTGACATTTACAATCTTACAGTTTTATTGCAGGAATTTCAGAAGCCTGTAACTAAATGATATGTTTATTTGATATGAACCACTTCTGGATTTTAGTGAGCTCGGTCATCATACATCAAAATATGCTCCATTCGCACAATACAACTTCTGCCAACGTGGAACTTGAACTTGTATCCGTAATTTATACAAATCTGTTGAGAACGTAGGACTATTTTAAATTTTTATTTATATTCTATGGCATTTCCTTTTTTTAAAATATTGAACAAAACAAAGCAAAAATAGTTTAGGAAGGGTCCGATAAAAATGAAAAAACCTCCACTTCAAGATCTGTTTAGGTTTTGGGCGGACTTTGTACATGGAGGTGTTAGCGTCGTAGGCCCTTTCGGTTTATCAGAGTTTGACAACAAAGTTTGAAGTTTGGCCAGCAGTTTTGTATAACCGGCTGGAAAAAGGTAAAATCGAGTAAGCAATTGGGCCTCAGTATTTATGTAGTTTATTCGTGAAGTATACATGTTTCCATTATGTACCCTTATTTTTGTTAGGCAGTAGGCATATTTTTGTTTTTCCAACTCAAAAGATGGATAGTCACGGTGCTTGTAGTAAGTTTTTTTATTTACTTCAATTTATTGGGGCTTGGGAAGAGAAAGACAACCAAATTGTCAAACCTTTCGTTGTCTTTTTTGTTGAACTTTTGTTTCAGCCTCGTTTCTTTGTTGCAAACGGGAAACAGTATTTTCCATGCAGCTTCAAGAAAAGGAATATTAATTTAGGATTAATGTTCTGGAAGGCTTCCTTCGCAGTATGTTATACTTTAAATTTACAAAGAATATTTATGCATATTTCTGAGATATTAACATCACCTTTTTAAATTAATTGTTCAAGTTGAGCAATTTTGATATTGTGTGACTAATTAAATCTTGAATTACACCAACTAATTTCTGATATAGAGTGTAGTTTGAATTTAATTAAGCTTTGATAAATACAACCAACTTTTTTCATCAGAATAATGTAACGAAATAAACGAATATAGGAAAACATGTCTTGGAAAATTTGATTTTGATTATAAATTGGAATTTCCGAAAAATCTAGGTTACAATCCCAATATGAAAGAGATTTTTCAAATGTAAAACACCGTCTAGACTATTTTATTATTAAATTCACTAGTTTCGTGGTCCGCATGACTAATTAATATGTATCTTACAATTAATTAAGGTTTTCAGTTGAGATAAAAAAGTCAATGGTACGAGCGGGATTCGAACCCACAGCGGAAGATCGTAGGTTCGAATCCCGCTCGTGCCATTGACTTTTTTATCTCAACTGAAAACCTTAATTAATTGTAAAATATTTTATTATATTACGTCAATTTCTTCGCAAAGCATAATTATCTTGAGGAATTCCTCTTATAATAATATAATATATATAATATATCTTATAATTATAATTCCTCTTAATATAGGAAGGAAGTCCTCTTATAAAGTTTTCTGAGACAAGGATAATATCCTTTAATAATTTAAGTAACCTCGTCTATGGATAGTACGATAGTAATTTTGTATAAGAATATTTATGCAGATAAAAGTCGGCTGGTTGAAAACTCCAATTTACCCGTTTTCTGGATTCTACCTTTGGACTATTTACATTCACCGAGGAGGAATTTGTACTCGTAAGAGAACTTGAATCTTCTTAGTCGAATTAACGAGGAATGCCAGCAGGTATTTCACGTACCGAGGAATGGAGAGGCATTTGACGGTTCAGGAAAGTCTCACAGGACGAGTTGAAGCCCGGAGATGCCTGGAACGTTGTGGCAACAACGCCACTGTAACCGACTTAAATGCCGGAAACTGTCTCTTAGGAAAACTCCAACAACAGGGGAAAAAAATCAATTTCACATGATGAGACGTGTTGACGTTGAACAATATTAGCACGTATGGTCGTCATGGTGGCCGGGGCCGTTATAAAACTCCAATGTTTACTATTTATTTTCCCAGGCCCTTCCTTAAAAGATGGCGGATTATCTCCTGAACAAATAGAGATACGGAGATCAAATAAATTCCCCTTTTCGATTTTTTTTTTTTTTTTTTTTTTTTTTGTTCCCCTCGTTTACAGGAGGAAAATCTCAAGATTTTTGTTACTTTGTCCAATTGACCAGAACACAGTGATGTATTTTGTAATCAAACACTATGAGCTGGTAAGCATTTCCTCCCAATTTAATACATTCTTTAGAGAAAATAAATTTTAACAAATTATTAACGAACTCCTGTGCGAAAATGAGCAGTGTACGTAAAAACGTTCTGATAGGTAATTCTATATAAACATTATAATATCAG